CAGGTTCTGAGTTCCCTGAGGCTCACCTTCTGAAAGTCGGTGGGAGTACCCCAGTGCACAGTCCGAGTGATGTCAGTTGTACCATCTCTGGAAAGAGTGATAGACACACAGGAATCTGAGTAGAAACTTACATCCGCATGGTATCAGTATGAAAGACCTGCCTCTATTGATGATTATTAGTTTCAAAAGTTTATAAGGAACCCATTGATCTCTCTCGCAAAATGCACCGATACTTGATAGGATCATTCAGACTCACAGATACTGGCCACCCGAGTCAAGGAGAAACATCTCATTCACGGTCAGCGTGCGGCAGCTTTCGTTGGTGGGGCTGGGAGACACATCAGCAAAGAGCTCAGCTCAACAACTCGAGTGGATGCAGCCCAAGCCCAGCAGAAGGACATCAGGAGGACTAACTGACCCATACCTGTAGTGGGCCAGGGCAGCGTTGGGCCCACTGGCCGATATGGTTTCAAAGCTGGGTCCCCTGTTGAAGTTCTGCTTGCTGAAATGGGAAGGATACCATAAGTGAGAAACGGCAGGGCCAGGGGGTGGATCCGTATCTTAGCGGAGAGACGTCTGTCTCTCTGTCTGCCTTACGGGTATATGAAGCAGGTGTGTGTCACTGTGGCTGTTTGAGATCCCTGTATAAACCATAAAGCCTACAGGGGCATTAATGTCTGTCTCTGCATCCACAGGCTGGTATTTCACATGATGAACTATCATCACCTGCGACACTCGTCCACAAAGTGGGCGGCGGTCAATTCTGTCTCCTGCCCCTCAGGGACAGTCTTCTCCAGCCTGGTCAACAGCTGGATGACAGCGACTGCATCCCTCACCTGCAGGACAGGTATGGAGACCGTGATACAGCAGCCACATGGTCACAGAATAGGCAATACCATCAAGATCATTGGAAAGGGGCTGTGTTCTCTCAGTCTACCCAGGATAAGATACCTACTGGCAGAGGTGTAGCTACAAGACAGGCAAGGCAGGCAATTGCCTGGGGCCCCGANTGTTTATTGCACCATGCTAAGCAGCTCCAAAGGCACTAAAAGCTCCAGATCCATAAAAAGTGCCATAAAGTGTGTTTTAACGGCGGAGTGACGGAAACGTGGTGCCGGCAGCTGTGACGGCGGCCATCCCTACATGAGCCTGCCTCAGCACCCGCTCCTCTGTCTCGTCCTTCACCGCTTTGGTGATGAGCACTGGGGAATATGCGCTGGTCAGCTGCTTCTCCTGAGGACAGTGAGATAAAGGCTGAATTTTAACGTATCTACTGCATCACATTATGAGGTTGCTTAACCCCATAGTGTGGCAGCCATGCTAAGTCAGTTGACCTTTTAAACTTCATTTGTTTGTTTTTCCATAGCAGGAAGAAAGCTAAATAAAGCAGTCAATAGCTTGGGGATGGTAATCTACTGTCTAATGACAGAGAGGCTCATGAATTATACTGGCATTTTGTTTGGTTTCCTGCATGTTTGAAGAAATCAACCTATGTCAATAACTCGGCAGAGTCTGTCGTTCCTGGTTCAGGAAGAGGTGCTTCACCTTTGGGCTGATGATCTCAGACAAGCCGCGGGTGGTGAACTCAGTGCCGATCCACACTCTCACGCCAGGCCCCTCCACATAGCCCTGGAGCTCGTTACGCACGCGGTCGTAGCCTGGCAGCTGTACGCAGAGGGAATCCTGACATGACGCATTCAGGTAGGCATGCAGCTCCTCTGTCACTCGCTGGTTGTGTACAAACAGCCTGAGTTTAAGAAGGACAGAAGGAAAATTTCCGTGAGATGGAAACAGAGAGAGAGCAAGAAAAAGATGTGTGGGATGACATGAAAATTGCCGTGAGGAAGAGTGGAAGATGTTCATCAGCCATCAGGCCTGTGATGTCATGTGGCCCATGTGATATGGCGCCTTCCACTTGCCAGATGTCGTCCTGGGTCAGCAGGGTGTAGGAGTAGAAGAAGGGGTTGTAGGGGATGTCATTACCACGCAGGTTGAAGAGCCCTGGAACACAGTAGCTGTGAAAGATGACTGTACACAACACTGGTTACTCAGGTCTTCACTTAATATACTTCTGAATATCAGGAATCTTATTAGAAACAGACAGATGTATAGACAATTATACTGGACTACACTGGACCGTCACTTTTAGAGATACTAAAATGTTCTGGTGCCACAGATGTTCCCAGATGTTTGTCAGTCTAATCAGCTGCCAGCTGTGCCAGGCGGTGTCGACAGGTGTGTCCAGCTCTTACAGGCCGTCTCGTCCAGTGCAGACAGCAGGATGGCCGTCGGCTTGTAGGGATTGTCACTCATCTGCTGCCGGATATCCTGCACTTTCTCCTGCCAGGTTCTCTCTGGACCAGACGGTGTTCAAAGGGCAGGACAAATAAACACAACAATAAGGGCCCTTGCTGCTAACGGAGTCATGATGAGTTTGATAGTGCCTTCATGTATGTGCTCTCAGATCGAGGGGATTTAATCCTTTATCAGAATCATAACAACCCACAAAGACTATACAAAGATCTAATTATACCGTTTACGATCCGTTCCTCTTGTTGTGCCCTATAGTTTTCAGGTCTCTGTGGCCATAGATCTGGGAACGGGATTACCGACACACCGATGATGTTGTCTGGGAGGCGGAAGAGGTTTTCAGGGGGAAGTGGGGGACGGTCTGTCCACACTTTGTCCACCAAGTTGTCAGGGAGGGACTTCAAGGATCGGTTGGCTGAGGCCAGCTTACTGTTAAAGGCCTCAAACGTGTCTGCAGCCAGTGTGGTGAGTCAGAAAGAAATTGTAAAGGGTCAGAGAAGAAATTAGCTGCCATCATAAATATATGAAGGTATTTGTGTGAAAGAATCTACTACAGTAATAGTAATAGTAAGTACACGTTAATGTACATTCAAGCCCAAACGCTCCCAAGAACCCTGTAAGGAGCTGTAACTCCTCATATACGCTATGCAGTCATTTTCATATCTTCACTGTACTGCACAGCTAATTCATAATCATCATTATCTTACATCAATATTCATCATTGGTGAGTTACCCATACTGCCGTTTTTCATTAAATATTTTTAATGTATGTATGTGTTTTTGTTCTCTCTCTCTCTTTCGTGGTTAGCGCACACATAGTATTTTTACAACTTATTATTTTTGTACGTTTTTACATAATTTTTCATTGATTGAATACCTGTACCCTGTACATACAGTACGTTTCCTTTACATATTTTATTGAATTGTACTTTGGTTACGTATATGACTTCTGTCAATAAGTTTACAGTCCCGTTCGTTTACTCATTTTACCTTACTGTGAATGCAAAAGAAAACAGCAGCCAATGCCGTGTTCTATGAATTAGTAGGGCTAACATTACTATACTGTTCTGTAAATGTGCTAGTGTGACAAATATCCATTAGGCAATACTGTACTCTTTTTACATGAAACATTTGTTTTTTTTAAAGGTAATGTACTAAGCTAACTTTTAAATGAAAAAGTGTTTTGGGAGCATAACTGGGGTCATATTTGGGGTTTAAACTATAGAAATAAGCACATATTACCATTTTAGTGACTCTACCAAACATCCATGAATCCTCCTCATTCGCAACGGGTTCTGGAACGTAACCTCACGAATGTCAGAGGACTTACTGTATATCAATTAAGACTCTGTTTTTTACAGAAAAACCCCATATCCAACCTGATGAAGTATACAGATGCAGGCTAATCCAGGACAGATCAAGCCAAGTGCCAAGCAACTGAATCATATTAGTTAATGTAAAGTGTCTCCTGCTATCACTCACCAACAGAGAAAAGAAAGGGGTCAAAGCCGATCTCCATGCCCTCTGGAACCTCCCGGATCAGCCAGTTTGCAATACTGTTTGTCGATGCTGTGTAACAATGGGAGGAGCTAGTTTAGGTATGAACAACAGAAGTTTCCGGAAAGAAGAGTTCAGAAGAATATTAAATCTGTCTTTCCATTGCTTTACATATAAATAATTTTTCATGGCAATTTATCATGACAAATTATTTTAGGCCATAATGAAACATGACATTGATAACAAAGCAACACACTTGCGATTAAGGCAGCGACGATTTGAGAAATTTGCAGTAAGATATCGGTATATCCCAATACTACATATCTTGATAGATCACCGTTTAACCCCCCCCCCCCCCTGCACTAACACCCTCCCTGCCACTCAATAAACATTTATCATATAGACTTATTTAGTTTTTATACATTTGTTTAGTTGCATGGAATGTGTTGTATTTTTAAGTTTTGTCCAATCGTGACTCGTACAGCAAGCGTCAGCGACATGGTTCAGGGTTCTTTCGAGTTACTCGCACCCTGTGTTGCCTCAGAACGTGCCGACACCTTTTGATTGTATTAGCTGGCTAGCCAACTACCCAAAGGATGCTGTGCACTGCTAGAGTGTCGCACCAGCGCATGTGCTATGAAAATTACAGCATATAGTCAGAGCTTTAGGGACAAAATCTGAATTAATCTGAAAAGGGAACATTATATGTAATGGATATTTCATGCACTAATAATACATTACTGTGATCCCCCGCTATATCGCGGTTCAGCTATCGCGCCCCCTCTATATCGCGGATGTGTCCCTGACGCATCACAGTTCTCTGCGATATAATGTATATGTATATACATACATATACATTACATAATATTATTGTTATTATGTTATTCATATCCTTAGCGTGACATCCACATATCATATGAGTTTACAAGTGTGTTTTAATAAATTTACATGTGTTTAAAGCATGTGGGAGGGGTATTTTAAGGCTTAAATTTTAAAGGCTTGTTTATTTATATGGTCTTTCTATAACTCGGATTTTCACCTATCGCTGATGGGTTTGGAACGTAACTTACGCGATAGGCGGGGAATCACTCTATACACATATTTTTGGGCGTCATGAATATTAACATGTTATGATGTCATCATCTAAACCATGATACAGAACAGCACAAATTACACAACAATTCCAGATTTTTTTTTATCACTTTACACCATTATACCATTGCACCCTTGTTTGCAATATCTGTCAATGATGTATGTGAAACATTGTATTTTAGGTATCAGAGGCCCTCATTTAAGAACAAGGTTCTCCAGTAGGGTCCACTCACAGTCTCTCACCAGCTCCCAGTTGCAGTCCATCTGTCGCTCGGCCTGCACCCAGTATCGACTATCAGTCCACAATACCGCCTGCGTCTGGGTCACCACCGCTGTGCCTGGGGGGAGGAGGGAGCCTCAGCCAATCACAGCCACCTTCAAAGGGTTTAATACCCCCAGTAACCGAGTCCTTCCAGGATGCGTTCAGTTAGATGTCAGTAAAGGTGAAGAAGTCCTTCCAAGATGGTTAGTTAGTAATGATGAAGAAGTCTATCTAGGACGGTTACAGTTCTCCCTTTGCTGTTCTCCAGCTGGATGCTTAAGATCCATAAGGCTTGAGGAGAACAAGCCACACGGCCAACAATAGACTAGACACATGACGATAGAGCAGGGTGATGGCAGGACATACCAGCAGATCCAGTGAAGCCCGTCATCCAGGCCCTCCGAGCATCGCGTGGGGCGATATATTCACTCTGTAGTGGAGGGAGGAGGTGTCACTCTTGCTGGCTTACAGAATAAGGTCATGTGAATGTGGATTGGGGTGGAGAGGGCTTACCAGATGGGCATCGGTGCCAGGGATGATGTAGGCGTGGATGCTGAGCAGAGCCATGGTCTGCCGTAGAGCGATGAGCCGCAGGGTGCTGTTGATGGCTGTGGGGGGGATGTACTGAAACACAGAAGGAAAGGAGACTCAGAACACAAAGACATAGCTGTGGAAGACGTGCAGCATCTGTGAGGTGTGGCTGTCCTACTGGTGGGTCGGCAGTGCAGTTCCTCTCATCTTGGCAGAGGACAAAACTCCAGGTTCCTGCAGAGGCATTGTGGGAAAAACTCAAAGGAAAGCTACCATTTTACTCTACTCCAGTGTCAACGGTGAGTTACTTCCTTCTATCATGTGAAATGGGTGTGGGATTATGGTCATCCTGGAAAGGGGAGTCAGTTGACTGAGTATGATGCATTGATTCAATGCACCTATTCCTTGTTTTTTGATGACCTGTAAATGTTTGTCTTTCTCTCTTTTGCTCTACTAAACATATTGTTGCCCAAGCTGCCAGCAATATCCTTTTCGCTTCTGTCAGTTTTGTAGATCTTTATTTCTATAATACACTACAACAAATAAAACCCACTTCCAGAACCCGTTCTTGTGTCACACATTAGTTTGCTATGCAAATTTCATTTAGATTATACAGCATCTACATAGATACTGTATCTACTATGTCTACACATATACTGTATCTACAGTTCTATTTCCTTGTCTGCCTGGAGTAGCTTATGAGTTGGGTATCAGGTAATGCAACTGCTTATTCCACATCTAACGCAAAAACGAATATGGATGTACAATGGCATACATGAACGTTACTACAATGTGAATACCCACACGGAAAACAGCAATAAACCTGCACCTTCAACATTATTTCACATTTTTCTGTCTTCTCTCAGAAGAAGGCTTTAAAAACATGCAGTATATACCAACTGTAGCTGATAATTCTTCTTGCTCTTGAAGGAATGATTTAATATGAGCTTACCTCCCACGACAAGGACAGCCAACAGAACCCAACTGGACACAAACATGGTGTATGAGTAGTCAGCTCACAAACACCTGGTCCTGGTCGGTAGTGCACTTGCTTCTCCTTCACAGCACACCACCCTCCTACTTTATCATACGCTCCGACTGCGATCACGTGCCACAGGTTCAAGGGGTGGAATTCCAAGGTTCTGCCATAAAGCTCAGATCCTGAAGAGAAACCACCACCCACCGGAACGCTGAAAGGGACAGTCCCTGTGGCAGACAGACGGCCACATTGCTGTCTCCTGCTGTGTAGTCAAGACATTAAGCCATCTTTTTACCTTTGTCTTCCATTTCTGCAAGTGGGCAGAGAGAGTCCTCTGGGTAGTACTCGCAGACATCAGAGAGGACATGTTAAACATCTACCCCACAACTGCTCTCTCTGGAATGTACACAAATGCAGACACACACAGTTATTGTATAAACTGATATACTGAAGTGATTCAGGTTGAGTACTGTACCATACTCAAGAGTACAGTAGCAGATCTACATGGGACTTGGCTCTCTAATAAGTTTAAGTTTCTAAACCTCATTCACCATTACAACAGCAGAACATTAGAAGAGCAAACAGGCATCTCAGTTACAAAGTCACAAAGTCATAAAATTTTGCCTTTCCTCAGTTGCCTGTATCACAGGAACCAATGGAATTAACGGCATTGGCTGCATAAACTGCTGTTAATGTTTAGCCAGCATCTGCAAATGGTTTGTTAACATTCAGAACATATACAATCATTTAACAAGGCGTACAGAGTAACTAGAATTACTGTCAATAGTACAATCGACAGTCAATCATGTAGCTTATGACAATATTAAACATGTGAACCTATACATCCACTTGAATATGGAAATACATCCTCTCAAAAAGAATAGAAGAGACTATTAAGATAAAAGCGAGGACACTTCTTTGGTTTTGCCACAAGGGGAAGCTTTAGTGCTACCACAGCCACTGAATAACAGGTATTCAACAGAGCACCACCAAATAAAAGCATCATGAGCAAAAGCCCCCAAATTCACCACATTTAATTAACAGCATTTATGACATTTCATTGCTATAATGTAATATATGCATTCATTGTTTATGTAAACAATACAGTGTTTGCTTATTAACAAGTCTCTCCTTCTATATATTAAAAAATATTAAACATTATTACATTAAACATTATTCTCATAATATAATATAATATAGTTGTCGTTTGTGCCTGCTGTTTATAATGGAACAAGAGGATTTAAAAGAAAAAACAATTTCACAGAAGATTGCAGGTTCAAATCCCCGACTAGCAAGGCAGCACTGAGGTACCCTGAGCAAGGTATCGCCCCCAAGCACTGCTCCCTGGGTGCTGAATTAGCTGCCCGCTGCTTTGTCAAGATATCAAATATGGGTTAAATGCAGAGGACATATTTAGTTGCTGTTCACTGTGTGCTGTGGTGCGTCAACAATGATCACTGGTCAACTAATTCATTAATTAGTTAATGGCTCTAGGTATTGCACCACCAGCAGAAAACACTAGGGGGTGATAGAGAATAACAAATTCACAAATCAGTTGCATTGCACATGGAAATTCAAAGCACCAGCCCTTCATGTCTTGCAAAACCTTGCTTTCACATTCATTCATTTGCTTTGATCCACAGAGGCAATTAGGGACATTGTTCATCATTACAGTGATGCGATGGTACACCCTCAAACTATCTGCATTTACTTTTATTTATTCTATTTTATTCAGTTATACAATGGTTTTATCCAAACTAATTTATTTCTTTATTTTTAAACTATGGTTAAAAAGTAGTACTTCTGTGAACATAATTACATTAATTAATACAAATTGTTGACAACGAAAGATACAATCAAGAGATGCATTTAAACTTTAACAGACACAGATAATATGAATGGCTAAGTAAAAGTGTGGGTCATTGTTCGTCCAATTTCAACCTGAATTCTGTCTCACCATATAGATTTAAAACAGCAGCCGTGGCAACAGGGCCTGCCTCTTTGCTAGGTTAGCAGCAGCCGCTGCTAATGATGCCTGGGTCTGGGGTTGCTAGGGGGTAATGTGCTAGGGGAGGTCAATTCATTGTGGGCTGAGGGGACGGGGCTGGTTTGTTTGCATGTTGAGAGCCTGACACTGACTAAAGAAACCATGAAAAAAAGCACAACCCCCACCCTTCACCCATACATCAGGAAAGGAAGCTAGGGTTACCCCAAGTCATACCCACTAGTTTGTGTTCAGAATGTTTTCATTGAATATGAGCCAGGATTCCACTATTCTTAGAGTGTAGAAGTTTACCAATCCCTTGGAGTATACCTGTATTCTACTGTTTTCCTTGGAGTATACCTGTATTCTACTGTTTTCCTTGTAGTATACCTGTATTCTATTGTTTTCCTTGGAGTATACCTGTATTCTATTGTTTTCCTTGGAGTATACCTGTATTCTATTATTTTCCCAGAGTATATCCTGATTCCACCATTTCCCCCAGACTCTACCAACTCTCCTAGGAGTATATCTTCCTCAAAGGGTACCCTGATTTTTGTGTTCTCTTTGGACTATACGTGGATTCCACTGTCTTCCTCAGAGGGTACCCCGATTCTGCTGTTCTCCTCAACATATACCTGTGTAGCCCTCTTATATCCCGCGTACTTATCCAATGGCCGGAGAAGTAGCACCAGCGAGCGCTACAAAAGAGCGACCATTTAAATAGCTTTACTAGCTCGATCTAGGGTTTACCACATTCACAAGAAAAATAACATACACCACTAGTTCAAGAACAGCTTGTTACTCCCCGGCCCCAATGGACTCACCTCTCCTCATACACTGTTCATTAAATTGGCACAGCGTACAGGCGCAAAGCAAAACCCCAGGTTAATAGCGTCCTGGTAACTACTCACAAGCGAAAGAAAGAAAGAAAGAAAAAAAACAAGGATACACCAGAAAATGACTTAATACAATTTTCTACATTTGCAATTAAACTGGCCCAAATCAATCATAACGCCCAACTTTCTACGACTGCATCATTTATTACCACAACATAAGATAAACAAAGGAAGAAATAATAAAACAGAACTAAAAGTTTACGAAGCTGGTTGCTTCGTATATGCTCAACTGCTTAACAGTCTATATGCAGCTGCTGTTGCGTTGGCGCGCGTTGGAGCTCAGGTCGGTCCGAAAATGAGGAAGACCAAAAAAAATATATATTTAAAAAAAAATATTCAACCCAGCTGCTTACTCACAGTCCCGTCGACCTGTTGAGCGTCCCCCTCCAGCGATCTTTTCTTTTCTCCTCCTCCAAAATCCCTTTTCCAAATTCCCCCCAAAGCCAAGAACAAACAAAAACCAGTCCTCTCTTCTCCGTCCACTTCTTCCCCCCCCTTCCGTCCGCTTTTTTCCCTCTCCCCCAATCCGCTATCGAACAATAGACAAACACTATATTTAACCAATCACAAACCAAAATACAATAACCATAAGAACACCTTCTACCACTCAATGCACACGTCAGTGCTTATGCACTAGGGGTGCTACACTCTCCCCCCACCACAAATTGTCATGCCCTCATGACGAGAGAGATTATTTTATTTTAAATTTTTTTTTTTTTTTTTTCACAAAATATACCTTAGCGTTTAGTCATTGCTGAGAGAGAGAGAGAAAAAAAAAAAACACACTTATCCTTAAGTGACCCATGCATACAAGGTGCTTATGTACCTAATGGGAGGTGTGATGGCAGGTATACACATTAGTGTCTCATTGCCTTCTGCTGCCTGATCTTTATGCTTTTCTTCTGTCACTACAACAGGGATACTGACTGCAGTGAATGAGGGGGTCCCTGGCTTATCATAGGTGAGCCTGGTAGGTGCCCTTCTCTCTCTCTGAGGTCGTGAGGCATCCCCCTCCTGGGCCCTCTGGTTCCCCTCCCTCACTACTGCAACAGATAAATCTTGCTCTCCTCTCTGGTGGTCCACCTCAGCTGTCATTTCTTCTGTGACCAGCTGGTCATCAGGGTTATTCTGGTTGGGGATATCACCAACAAGCATCTCATCAGGAGAGTGCTCAATCAGGGAACCAACATCATCTAAATCTAACTCGAACTGTTCCCTTTCTCCAGCTGTGTCCATTCCTGCACTCAGTGGCTCCAGTGGAGGGTAATAGTCATAGCCCACATCCTGTTCTGCATCAGAGTCAGAACCAGCTTCTTCTCCTTTCTCGTCTAGAGCATGTGCCTTGCGTGGTACAGGCGGTCCCTGTCTATTTCCCCTGCTCCTCAGAGTCCTCCCCCCCCTTGGCTGAGACAACTCAGGTATCCTTTCAGGCTGAAGACGCACATCTTCTCCAAGTGGCAACAAGTTATTTCTGTGCATTGTCTTCATCGGACCCTCTCCACTCTCTGGCCTTAATCTGAAAACTGGCAGACCTGGCAGTTGGCTCTCTACTATGTAGGGGGTCGGTGCCCATCGGTCAGCCAACTTGTGCTTTCCTTGCAGCCCAAGGTTCCGTATCAAAACTCGATCTCCAGCATCCAGTGAGAAGTAGCGAACCCTCTGATTATACCGCCGTCTATTGTCCTCATTCTTTCTCCCTGCCTTACTCTCAGCTAGCTGATATGCAGCCTGGAGGTCATGCTTCATGTTTCTCACATACCTTAGATATGACTTGTGGGAAGAACAATCACTGGAGACTCCAAAACACAAGTCAATAGGCATCCTGGCCTCACGTCCAAACATTAAATAATATGGGGAGTAGCCGGTTGCTTCATTCCGAGTGCAGTTATATGCATGGACTAAGTGACTGATGTGCTGACTCCATCTACTCTTTTCCTTAGGATCCAAGGTTCCCAGCATGTTAAGCAGTGTCCTATTGAAACGCTCGGGCTGTGGATCTCCCTGCGGATGATAAGGGGTGGTTCTCGATTTCCTCACTCCCAACATACCGAGCAATTCATGAATGAGGCGACTTTCAAAGTCTCTACCCTGGTCAGAATGTACTCTTTTGGGTAAGCCATAATGGATACAGTATTTCTCCCAAAACACCTTAGCAACAGTAGTGGCTGTCTGGTCTTTGGTGGGAAAGGCCTGTGCATATCGTGTATAATGATCCGTTATGACCAGAATATTGGAGACATTCTTGGAGTCAGGCTCAACAGACAAGAAATCCATACAAATAAGATCCATGGGGCCGTCGCTGGTCAAGTGAGATAATTCTGCAGACCTCTGCGGTAGTGTTTTCCTCTGAATGCAACGGGAACATGTTCTGCAATACTTCTCCACTTCAACCTTCATTCGAGGCCAATAGAATCTTGCCCGGACCAAACCATAGGTTTTGTCGAACCCCAAATGACCTGAGAGATCATGCATCGACCGCAGCACTAATCCCCTAAACTCCTGAGGAAGCACCATCT